AAAAAAAAAAAAAAAAAATATATAAACCTCTCATAACTAAGACTCAAAGTATTTGCCTTGTTTCTTTATTTTGTACAAAATAAATTGACAATAACATATCATGTCAGAATTCTAAGAAGAAAAGATTCAAAACCAAACATCCAAAATTTTATAAGTTATTATATTATCAATCAGTCATGGCATTCTGTCGGTCAAGAAAAGGTTCTCCTATAAACACACACAGTAAAATGACACAATCCGGTCAATAAAAAGACAATTCAAATATCCAATTATGAAGATTCAAAACACTTTACTTTCTTTCCACAGCTAATTAGTTACCAGGAGAAAGCACAATGGGAAGATATATAGTTAATACACACAGTATATAGTTAATATACACAGTCTAAGAATAATTTGAAAATATTAGCCCCCCCATTTAAATAGAAAAGAAAATTAATGGTAGATTTTTGCTCTTTCAAAATGTGCTCATCTAATTAATTCAGTCTAGAAAAGTGATCCATGAAAGAATGTTGTATTCTATCTTGCAAAAGTGTATTTAAGTGAGTTAAGCACTATTTAAGGCCAAAATCACTATCCCATATATATTCTACAAAAATTATCATAAATGTAAAAAGTAGACAGGGTAAAGTGGTGAAAAAGTCTCTGGATTTATAATCAGAAGAAATAGGCCTGGTGGAGTGGCTCAAGTATGTAATCCCAGCACTTTGGCAGGCCAAGGCAAGAGGACTTCCTGAGCTCAGGAGTTCAAGAACAGCCTAGGCAACAAAGCGAGACCTCATCTCTATAAAAAAATAAGCTGGGCACGGTGGCACACGCCCGTAGTCCTAACTACTTGAAAGTCGAGGCTCCTTGAGCCCACGAGTTCAAAAGTCCAGTCTGGGCAATATAGTGAGAACCCGTGTCCAAAAACAAACAAGCAAAAAACACTATAGATTCTAAAACCCGAAATACATCATTATCTTGCTGACAGATCTTCTACATACTTTATGTGATCAATATGGATTTATAAATTATTTAACAAAGAGAGACAGTGATATTTCTCACCTGAAAGCTGATGGTCATGTAGCAAATTTCGAAGTTTATCACAAAGTTGGATCAGGCTGTCCAATTGTCTATTTATCCTCAAGTCTTGTATCCAGGCTGGGGTATGACACACTGGACATCCAGTTCCAATGCAGTCACTTACACAATCACTTTAAAAGCATTAAAAAAAAAACTGCATTCAGCAAAGCCTGAATTGTAAAAATATACAATAAACAGAGTTTGAACAGAAGCAAACAGAACAGAGGTTGTTCTAACACACCACAGCTGCAAACTACTTGTTAACACAGTGTTTTAGAAAGTAAAATACACATGCATTTAAAATCTAAATCTAAAGTTGCTTATAGAATGTGCTATGAGAGACTTTACTTAGCCTGACATTAATCTGCATAATTTTTCTCTTCAAATAAATCTATGCTTCTTCTACAGGGTGGGAGTACAGAGAGATGCAGGCAAATGGATATGATACCTAATGCAGAGAAGTCATACATCTCAATCTTTTCTATCCTAAACCTTAACATTCTACTTTATGGAAATGCCTACAATTACTGCAGCGACTGGAAAAGACCTTTTTTTTTTCTTTTTTGGACAAGTGTCTAAAGGTTTTAAAGTTCTCTAAGGATCTTTGGTTCTTTCAGATAGTTTTATAACCTTTAGACTCAATTGACCTTGGTTTATCTAAGTGTTAAAGTCTCATAGTTAGAAGGTTTTCCCTAATTTGGGGAATTACAAACCCTTTGCAAATCTGATGAAAATATACATACACACTCCTATTTTTTTTTTAAATCTGCCCTGAAGACCACCTGTGAATTCCAGAATAAGAATCTACTCCAGAATAAGTCTACGCCTCTCTTAGCCTCACCAGATGGGTTCTAGCTGGATTGGGTAATGTAAGTTACAAGCCACGTTTCTCCCAAGCACTACATTCCTTGTCATGTGACTCAATCCTCTGCAGGCACAAGGATTCCTACAATGTGAATCCTTAAACTTGTGACATTTCTAATTTTGATTCCTTGGCTTCTAGCATGATTCTTTTTTTTTTTCCTCATAATACAGAAGCTTTATTTTTAAAAAACCTAGTCCTATACAGTTGCCTTTTTTTTTTTTTTTTTTTTTTGAGTTGGAGTCTCACTCTGTCGCCCAGACTGGAGTGCAGTGGCCACTCCCGGCCACCGCAGCCTCGACCTGCTGGACTCGGCGATCCTTCTGCCTCAGCCTTCCGAGTAGCCGGAATTACAGGCATGCGCTACCAAGCCCGGCTGGTTTTTTAATTTATTGTAGAGATGAGGTCTCGCTGCAGGCAGGTCTCGAACCGGCGGGCTCAGGCAATCCACTCACCTCAGCCTCCCAAAGGCGTGAGATTGCAGGCTGAGACACTGAGCCCGGCTCAGCTGCTCTCTTAAAGGAGTGGCCACCACAGGGTCTGTGCCTCCCCAAGAGATGGCAGATGCTCCTGGCTATTCATTTAAATAACTATTCCCTTGATGGAGCCAGGATGTGAAGGCAGGGCCCCTGCCACCTTCCTAGGGGATCTAACATGATTCTTGACACAAAGTAACTAGCAAAAAGCTGTAAAATGAATCTGTAACCCATACTAGAGCTGACAGAGACCTTTGAGATTATCCGGTTCAATAAATGTCATGGAGTTCAATAAATGTCAACTTTGTGTAGCAAAGAAACTTCTGTGAGTTTGTTTTTTAGCAGTTAAGAATTCTAACTTGGAATCCCAACATAAAAATTAGGTGACTGATTACTCAGTCAATTTACATCATTCTGTGCAATACTTAATTTGAAGAATACCAATAAAACACAATTCAAATCATTCATTAAGAACCACCACCTCACTTTAAGATGAATAAAATTAGATCCAGTTAGTTAAGTTACTTGCCCAGCACTGCACTAGTACTCAGATAAGTCTATTTTACATATTCTATAGCTGTTTATAACTATTCTCAAATTATTTTTATTTTATTTGAGTTGGAGTCTCACTCTGTTGCCCAGGCTGGAGTGCAATGGCATGCTCACAGCCACCGCAGACTCCATCTGCTGGGCTCAGGCAATCCCTCCACCTCAGCCCTCCAAGTAGCCAGAACTACAGGCACACGCTACCATGCTCGGCTAATTTTTTGATTTATTGAAGAGACAAGGTCTCACCAAGTTGCCTAGGCTGGTCTCGAACTCCTGAGCTTAGGCAATCCTCTTGTCTCGGCCTCCTAAAGTGCTAGGATTACAGGCTTGAGCCGCCATGCCCGCCCTCAAAGTATTTTATACACTTTGATCCAGAATTCTGAAGAAGTATGTCACTTTTTAATCAATCGGCATAAGTCAGTGAGCCAATATTGTAACTTAAAATCTGCCACGAATATAAACAGGTACCATAATTTTTGGCATCATATAAACAAAATGAATCAAAACTACATTGAATGAATTCTTTCCTATGCTTATGTCATATACACATGATCATTTTCTCTTTTAAGATGCCCAGCCAGGCACGGTGTCTCACGCCTGTAATCCTAGCACTTTGGAAGGCAGAGGCAAGAGGATTGCCTGAGCCCAAGGGTTTGAGACCAGCCTGGACAACTTGGCAAGGTCTCATCTCTACAATAAATCAGAACAATAGCCAGGTGTGGTGCCACACCTGTAGTTCCAGCTACTTGGAAGGTTGAAGCAGAAGGATTGCCTGAGCCCAGAAGGTCGAGGCTGCAGTGGCCGTGAACGTGCCACTGCATTCCAGCCTGGGCGACAACGTGAGACTTCTACTCAAAAAAAAAAAAGTTCTCATGTCCTCATTTGTCTTTTAATCTTTTATTGGCCACTTTAAGTCATAGAACCCTTTACAATCTGATTAAAGGCATAGAACCCCCAAATATCCACCCACCCATCAACACACTACAAGAAATGTCATAGAGTTCACTATGCTCTAATAGCTTTGTGACTGACACAGTATAAAATGAGCAATCCCATCATCTATCAACTGAAACAAAACGCATTTGCTTGCTACAGAGTGAGATCAGAGATCATGGGAGGTGTCCTGGAAGCACTGACATTTCAAGTGAAATGTAACTGATAAAAAGTCAGCCTCACAAAAATCTGGCAGAAGTACATTCCATGTGGAAGAAATAGCAAGTACACAGGTCCTGGGGTGGCAGTGAGTTCCATGTGTCTAAAGAACGAAAAGGAGAAGGTAATGGACCACTGTGAGCCAGAGGAAAGTGAGGTCCGAGACGCAGGGAAGACGTAGGCCCCGTACAGAGTCTTACTGACCATGGTGCAGAGTTTGGATTCTATTCTAATGGCAATAGGAAGCCATCAAAGGGTTTAAGCCGGTAATGATATGGATATAACTTACATGTTTAAAAGATCACTGGTCAAGAATGTAGACAATGAGGCTGGGGCGCGGTGGCTCAGGTCTATAATCCCAGCACTTTGGGAGGCCGAGGTGAGAGGACTGCCTAAACCCACGGGTTCAAGACCAGCCTGGGCAACTTGGTGAGACCCCCCATCTCTACAACAAATCAAAAAATTAGCTGGGCGTGGTGGCATGTGCCTATAGTTCCAGCTACTTGAGAGGCTGAGGCAGAAAGATCGCCTGAACCCAGCAGACTGAGTCTGCAGAGGCCGTGAGCATGCCACTGCCCTCCAGCCTGGGAGACAGAGTAAGACTCCCACCAAAAAAAAAAAAAAATGTACAAAATGGGGAAAGGATGATGGCGCCAAAAAGGGAGGCAAGACCTGAACTTATCACCATAGTCTACGGAGAGATAGTATGGTGGTGGCTTAGACCAAAGTGTAAACTGTAACAAAGACAGAAAAATGTAGAAATATTCATGATTTGAGGCATATTTTGAGGTAGCACTAATAGACCTTAGTGATGTGAGATAAGCAACTTAACAGTCAGTGGTACTATTTTTTGTGAAAAAGATTACCCAGACAGAAATCACCTCTGAACATATCAAGTTTAATGGCGCCTTCTCATCATCCAGAGATCTCAGGGAGGCAACAGGTACTATTTCCTACGCCACCCTCCTGCTGGATATACCCCACAGAGCAGATCTCCGTTTCTAGAAACAAAACTGGGACCCCAAACACAGCTGCTTCCCACACATCCTCGGCCCAGTAAAGTCATACACTAGATTATTTTCATATCTGCTCAAACTACAGAACACAGTTTGTTATGCCAGATAGTGACATACTCATAACCTGAAATAATCAAAAGATCAATTTAAAAGAGGCTATACTAACCCTTTCTCATAGACAATTAAGCTAAGACACTTAATCCCTCAATTGATTTCTCTTGATCAAGAATAGGATGAGGTAAAAACTTAGATTGTCTAATCTATAAACCATGGTTTTCACATGAATATACTCTGGGTTGAATTGTGTCCCCTGAAGATGTCAAAGTTTTAACCCCTCGGTACCTGTGAATGTGACCTAATTTGGAAACCGGGCCTCTGCAGATGATCAAGTTAAGATGAGATCATTAGGATTTGAGACCTTAACCAATATAACTGGCATCCTCATAAAAAGAAGAAATTTAAGCTGGGCTCGGTGGCTCAGCCTGTAATCCTGCGCCTTGGGAGGCTGAGGTGAGTGGATTGCCTGAGCCCGTGGGTTCGAGACCCGCCTGGGCAACTTGGTAAGACCTCATCTCTACAATAAATTTAAAAAAAAAACTAGCCGGGCATGGTAGCGTGTGCCTGTAGTTCCAGCTACTTGGAAGGTTGAGGCGGAAGGATCACCGGAGCCCAGCAGATGGAGGCTGTGGTGGCCAGGAGTGGCCACCGCACTCCAGTCGGGGCAACAGAGTGAGACTCTGACTCAAAAAAAAAAAGAGGAAATTTGACACAAATCCAAGTACTCACGCGAGGGAGAATGGCATGTGAACATGCAGGGAAGACTGGAGTGATGCCTCCACAAGCCAAGGAATGGCAAAGACTGCCAGCAACCCACTGGACACTAGAGGAGAGGCATAGAGCAGATTCTCCTTCCCGACACCACACAAGAACCAACCCTGCCATCAGCTTAATCTCACGACTTTTAGTCTCCAGAACTGTGAGACAAATGACTTCCATTGTTCTAAGCCACCCAGTGTCTGGTTCTTTGCTATGGCAGCCTTAACTTAAGAAACGAATATAAGTATACTTACATAATTTTTAAAGTCTAGACTTAAAGCTTAACTGGAAAATATAAAAATGACATATCTGAATTATATAAGAGACACCAATTTCCCCCAACCCTCCAAACCTAGCAAACCTTCTTATTAAGCTTTGAAACTTTGGACAAATCATTCTCATTGAGGTTTGGTTTTCTTATTTGTAAATTAAGACCATTATACAAATGAAAGTAAAACAATGTACAATAAGTCACTTTGCAGACTATAAAAGTTACACAAACATGAAGTACTATTACTATCAACAAGAATGCAAAATTATTACCTAGAATACATATATATACATCAAGCCATTAAGTACTTACTTGCAAAAGACGTGGTCACAACCGCCTAAGCACACAGGCTCCCTCAGAATATTAGCGCTGTTTGAGGAAACAAAAACAATCAAGACTTAGGTCATTGTTAGATAAACACTTCATGCCTAACACTTCATAAATCCAAGGTTCAACACTACCGTATTTCTCTGTCTCTCAAAGCAGAAGATATTAAGGATGTATTCATTTGAAAGGCTATTACTCTCTGGTTACTGTATCATAACACACCTGCTGAATTTAAACAGCAATCACAAACTCAGTACAAATATAATATATTTTATAATGTGTTTGCTATTCAAGCATCTCTAAACCTCTTAGAGACAAAACCAACCATTGGCCACTTATTTTCAACCAATAAAGTACACTCTCCCCTAATAACCTAAATTGTAGGCCATATATCTTAAAATGTAACCTACAAATAAAATGATCATATATTGTGTTGTTCAAGGGAGAACACTTCTGTGAGTGAAGGAGGTGGTTAATAACTGAATAGGATGCTGGGACAACAGGTGTAAATCAGGACTGCCCCAGGCAAGCCAGATTATCTTGACCACAAGAATCCAAGGGTTCCCATAAGAAAGCATGGGTTTCTCACTACTGTTAAACAGTCGTCTATTTTTCACAGATGTCTTGTCAAAACTATAGTCATTTTTTTCAGTTCATAGAAAGTTGATTGTTTTGTGTTTTAAGCAATTACAAATAGAAACCATCAGGTTGGCAGTGTGCAGACTGAATGAGAGTCCCTGCACTGAACGAAGAGAGGCAGAAACAAAATATTACCAATGTTGTCCATCAAAATACCTGCTATACTTGACAGTCCTAAGAAGGTAATGGCACTTACTAAAAAACACACATCAAGCCATTATACTCAGTGGAGGTAATGTAGCCAGAGCAAACCAGAGAAGTAAAACCTTTTAAAGGATGAACGTTTTCGTGTGCTTGGTTTATTACACTAACCCTCAGTCCTTTAGTTATTTACACCATTATTATCCATTTACCTCTGTACACATACCACACATCAATACAAACATTTCTCCACATCCTTGAAAGACCAAAGTATTACATGTACATTTTAATAGATATGAACATTCAAGTGAAATTGAGCTTTTCACAGAGAACTAAAAACTGAGTACACACCCACAATGTTATTCTCAAGACATTGAGAATGGTGCTCACTGACATTATAAAACCCATTACTTTAAAAACTCACCATATCTGATTTTTTCTATATATACTGTGTAGAATATATTGATAAAAATATGAGTGCTGTGATTCTGGCAATTAAGACGATCTCTTTTAACATGCAAGCTGCTGCTATAATTTTTGTCCATCACTTCTGCTAAACCTAACCTCCTCTTTCTCAATTAGGTGTGTCGAATTCTACTTCACTGGAAGCTCTGCCATTGCATCGACAGGTACACAGGTAATCTCTCCTTCAGCCTGGGGGGGGGGACGGCCAGGCGTGGTGGCTCATGCTGCAATCCCAGCACTTCAAGAGGCTGAGGCAAAAGGATTGCCCAAGTCCATGGGTTTGAGACCACCCCGGGAAACTTGGCGAGATCTCGTCTCTACAATAAATCAAAAAATTATAGCCAGGCATAGTGGCACATGCCTGTGGTTCCAGCTCCTTGGAAGAAGGAGGTGGAAGGATCCTGAGCCCAGCAGGTCGAGGCTGCGGTGGCCGGGAGTGTGCCACTGCACTCCAGCCTGGGCGACAGAGTGGGACTCCAACTCAAAAAAAACAAAACAAAACAAAATACTCTCTTTTGATCCTACTTCCCATTCTACCTTCTGCCCATCTCTTCCCTTTCTTGACCACATAAAAGTTCTTAAATAAGTGCTCTAAGGGCCCAGCGCGGTGGCTCATGCCTATAATCCCAACACCTTGGGAGGCTGAGGTGAGAGGACTCCCTGAGCCCACAGGTTTAAAACCAGGCTGGGCAACTGTGGCAAGACCCCATCTCTACAATAAATCAAAAAAATTAGCCGGGCGTGGTGGCGCATGCCTGTGGTTCCAGCTACTTGGAAGGCTGAGGTGGAAGGATCACCAGAGCCCAGCAGGTTGAGGCTGCAATGGCCATGAGCGTGCCACTGCACTCCAGTCTGGGAGACAGAATGAGACTACGACTCATAAAAAAATAAAGTAAAATAAGTGTTCTATATCAGCTCACTCCATCTCCTCACCTGCCTAGCTTTAAGTCCTGCCACTCTGCTGAAACTGCTCTCCAAAGCACGTCTGGTCCCTTGTTCTCCCTGACCTCTCTATGAAACAGCAATGACCTCACCTTCTTTCCTGAAATCGTTCCTTCCACTGAGTTTTATTCTCATAGCACATTTATCTGCCCATTTCAACACTTTCTTGGCTGCTTTTCCTTTTCCTACCTCTCAGTGTCAGGTATAACCCCTAGGATGCATCCACAGCCTTCTGGTTTTCTCTGGCAATTCTTGATTTGATGCCTCAATTCTGTTTCTAAACTTTAAATTTCCTTCCTACGATGACGCTGAACCCTTTACCTATGGTTCTTACCCTTCTCCCTAGCAATACCATGCTATCATGTCATTAGCAATGATTTAATATGTATGAATAACTGAACGGTTGTACTAATTGCTCTAATTGGCGAGATAGAATATATTTGTTGTTGTTAACATACAAGGAAAAAAGACACTGGAAATGTGATGAGCAGTATGTGCACGTGTGGTTTGCAGGGAAAGAGTCAAGAAAGGGGTATGGGAGCCAAACTGGGAGAGGGTGGTGCCAACTTCCAAAGAACTTCTTTTTTTTAAGTCGGAGTCTCACTCTATAGCCCAGGTAGAGTGCAGTGGAATGCTTCGGCCACCGCAGCCTCAACCTGCTGGGCTCAGGCGATCCTTCTGCCTCAGCCTTTCAAGGAGCTGGAACCACAGGTGTGTGCCACCACGCCTGGCTAATTTTTTGGTTTATTGTAGAGATGAGGTCTCACCATATTGCCCAGGCTGGTCTCGTACCATGGGCTCAGGCAATCTTTTCACCTCTGCCTCCCATAGCACTGGTATTACAGGCATGAGTCACCATGCCCAGCTAAAAAAATCTCAATGGAAGAGCTCAAAGGATGAATTCACTACACAGACGGTAGCACTGATCTTGTGTCAAAGTCAGATTTTCTTAGAATAAATAGAGCTTAGCTGAGAAGATAACCTGGAATAAAAGAATATTTTGCCAAGTACAGAGGCACACTGTATAGTGCCAGCTACTCTCAGGAGGCTGAGGCAGGAATATTGCTTGAGCCTAGAAGATCGAGTCTGTTGTGCACTGTGCTGATGCCTATAAATAGCTACCACACTCCGGCCTGGACACCAGAGGTAGGAAGACTCCATCTCACTGAAAAAAAAAATTTATTACAACTAGGAGATATGTAACAAGATTTTAAATGCATCCAACTTTAATTCAGTTTATTCCACTGCCAGGAATGTATCCTTCAGAAACACAAGATACTTGCAAAAATCAAACTTCGAAACAGCAAAGATTATCTAGACAAGATTCTAAAAGCTTCCAGAGATTGAAAAATAATAAAAGTAAAAGGCATCTGTATTATAAAACAGCCTAAGATGTCTCCAGAGTAACAGGAGGTATGACAGAACTGCGGAGCAAAGCCTTCAAAATAATAATTGAAAATTGTTTTGCACTTCGAATTCTATATCCACTCAACTTCCATAGTTCAAAATTAATAGTAATAGGAAAGCTCATCTTTCTTGAGAGCTTTCTTGGGAATAGGAAGTTAATAAATAATATCTAAAATGAAAAAAAATCAAGAAATACCAATATAAACATATTTGGAAATGTAGAGGAAATGCTTGAAAAACTGGTCAAAGTTAGATAGCTCAGCCTGTAATCCCAGCACTCTAGGAGGCCGAGGTGAGTGGACTGCCTGAGCCCGCGGGTTGCCCGTGGACAACTTGGTGAGACCTCGTCTCGACAATAAATCACAAATTAGCCAGGCATGGTAGCACGTGCCTGCAGTTCCAACTACTTGGAAGGCAGAGGCAGAAGGATCGCCGGAGCCCAGCAGGCCTATGCTGGGGTAGCCATGAGTGTGCCACGGCACTCCAGCCTGGGCGACTGAGACTCCAACTCAAAAAAAAAAAGAAAAACTAAAGAAGATGAAAGAGGTTGTGTCTAGACTAGAGCATAGAACTCACGGGTGATGAATGAGACAGAGAATGTTTTCCTTATGGTCTTTGTCCTATTGATTCTGCCAACTATGTTCATGTATAACTTTAATTTTAAAACATTTTAAATGTAAAGGCCCATGACAAGGATATTCACTCCAAACCCACTTGTTACAGCAAAAGACAGAAAAACCTAACTTTTTTACCAAAAAGGAAATGGTTAAGTAAATCATACTACATCCATGTGACGTATAGTATCTTCTCATCTGAGGCACATAACGTTTACATAGAGACCCTCTTAAAGGGTGCATGAGAAACCAAGTCATGGCTTACTGAGGAAGAAGATTCAAACTTATCTGTCACTCATTTAAAAAATAATGAAAGGCTATGTACTGTGTTTTTTTTTCACACATGCATGTATTATTTTCCATCTTAAAAAATTAATATTTATAAGTTCTTCATAATCTGGTAACACCCAAGCTATACAACCTTTTCCCTCATTGCTCTTCAACAAAAACTCTGCTCTGGTCAGGCTAGTGTGTTACAAGTTTCCAACAGCCTATGTTCAATTCCAACCCCATGACTTTGCTCAGGGCATTCTCCCCAGCCCAGAATAACTTACTCTTCCCCCAACAACTACACAAGCCCAGTACTTACTGGGTCAAATACCATTCAGGATGGTATAATAAAAAGGACACAAGCCAGGCTCGTTGGCTCAGCCTGTCATCCCGCGCCTTTGGGAGGCTGAGGTGAGTGGAGTGCTTGAGCCCGCGGGTTCGAGACCCGCCTGGGCAACTTGGCAAGACCTCATCTCTACAATAAATCAAAAAATTAGCCGGGCATGGTAGCGCGCGCCTGTAGTTCCAGCTACTTGGAAGGCTGAGGCGGAAGA